TTTATCTTCTTCAAAGAAATATATAAATAAAACAATTTAGTAATAAACTAAATCACAAGAAATTAGGATTATTCAAAATCAATAAAGTAATTAAATCAATTAATTATAAATTAAAGTTATTATATATTATAAATATTTATTTAATATTTTATATATTTTTACTCGAACTAGTATTATTAAAAACGCTTGATATATTTATAATAGAAATCGAATTAATCAATCCAAATATTATATATAATATTGAAACAATATTAGATTATAAATATATTAGAAACAAAATCAAATATTTGATTAAATAATTGGATTTCTTATATTCAGAAAATATTTAGGAGTTAAAAAAAGATCTTAATTGTTTTAAAAAATTGAAGGTATTTTATCAATATTATTCAAATCTTTTTAAAAAGGATTTAAAAAGTTTGGGAAAAAAGAAAAATTGTAATTATTAAACAAATTTGTATTAACCTCAATAGATATCGATAAATTAGAATTCAATTACTTCTTTTTTTATTTTATATATTCTTTATTCAATTTTTTTTTTTTCTTTATTTTATTCAATTTATTTATCGTTTTCAAATTACAATAAATCATTTCGGAAACCTGTTTATAAAAAAAGTATTATTGTTTATCAAAACAAAGTAATTTCGATAAAGTTTCCTTATATTTATAATCTAAACATTTTTGTTTTTATATAATATTTATTATATTCCTAATGATAAATCTTGATACATCATATCGTTGATTTCGATGAGTATACTTATTATAACAATTGGAATTTTTCTTAATAATAATATAATAATACAAATGTTTTTCGTAATAAATATATAAAAATATCTTGAACCTTTTAGATTCGATTATTAAAACAAATTCGACTCGTTCCTTATATTTTTTTGATCTTATAAATAATATAATAAAAAAAGTAAAAAAGTTTATTCTACAAAAACTTATAATATAATAAGAAAAATGATTATAAAAGCTTAAAATAAATATTAAATTAAAAAAAGGATAATATTACAAGATAATAATCAATCTATTCATATAAATTTAAATTTTATCAAAAAGCAAAACGATTTATATACAAATTTGTATAATAATTGTTTTATATAATCTCTCTACCCTTAATAAATTTGGATATATAATTTGATCCTAAAAATTATATAATGGACTCTACATATACAAGGATACAAATCATAGATCTATACGAATCGAAAATCCATATAAATTATAGATTTATATAAATTATAAATCTATATAAATCTATAAGATACAAAGATCTATATAAATCAAAGGGGTTTTATATATATAAAAGCTTTATATTTAAGATCAATTATTTAGTATAATTTATTATTAATTATAAATTGTAATTATTGATATTATTTTAAAACTTTTGTTTGATGCTTAGTTATAAACCATTCAAGAATCCAGGCCACTTCCACATAATCTAGATCGCACCCCTTGTAATATATAACTAGTATATTATAAAGGAGATTAGTATATAATCAGAATAATTTTATAGTTTAGGAGTTTTATATTTAATTTAATTATCAATTAGTTTATTTATATTTTAATTGATTTAATAACGAATTCACTTTCAAATGAATAATCAGTGATTAATAATCTTAATCCACAACTATCAATTATACAAAACCTCAGACAGCCGCTGCCTCGACCAGATCGTTACACACAGGTGTAACGATCTGGTTGAGACAACAGCTGCTTCAGGTTTTGTATAGTTGATAATTGTAGGTTAAGGCTAATAATCATTAGTTATCTATTCGAAGATGAATATATTACTAGATCAATTGGAATGTAGATAAACTAATTGATAATTAAATTGAATATGAAGCTTTTAAATTATAAAACTATTCTGATTATATATTAATCTCTTTTTTATATTAATTATACTAGCTGGGTTAGTATAACTAGTATTCTTATAATACTAGTTTTGCTAACTGGGCTAACAGAGTTAATATATCATATGATTGATTTTAAGACTTTTCATATCCTAAAACCTTTCCTTTTCTAAAACATTTGTTTCAAGAATTTTCCCTTTAGAAATTACAGCTTTAGAATATAATATCTTTTAGAATGATAATTTTATTATAATTGATAAAATAGAATACTTATCCTATTCTATTATAATTATCTAGAATACTTATTCTAGAAATCCTGAGATTTTAGATTTAAGTAATCAGGACCCCCAAAAACAATAGTTAAATCATACCTCTTTTATAATCAATATATAAATCATTGATATCAATAATATTATTATAATCAAAACTATAAATCGTGACAGTAGGCCCCTAGTATAATTCTATTACTATTATTATAATAAATCTAATAATAATAATTCTTATATTTATTAAATCTTTATATTATCTAAATTTTATATTAAATTAATTATATTATATTTTGTAAATACAAAAATGATTATTATAAGATTTATAATCATAATACTAATCTCTCAAATTATTTATTTTAAGATATTAATCCCGAGATCTTTTTCTTAGAATTCAAATTTTAAAATATTATAATCTTTAAGATTATTACTTTATTTTATTTGATTGATTAAGATATTTGTTTTACTCTTATATAATAATTTAAGATTTTCTTTTTATTATATTATAATTATTTAAAACAATTTATTTTAAAGTCTTTAAAATCTTAATTATATATAATAAATATTTTTATAATCAGTAGTTAAATCTTCAATATTTATATTATTATTATAATATAAATTCATAACAATAAATCTTATATAAATTAAAATCAAAAATTTAAACTTATAAATTTTAATAAATTCTATTTTAAAAAATCTGAAATTTTCAAAATTGATTTATAATTATATAATGAATATATGATTCAAATTTTATCAAATTCTATTGATTGATTATAAAGTTATTAATAATTGAAAACTACAATTTTTTATATAAAAGGGTCGCCGGGATTAGGGGTGGCCGGAAAGTAGGGTACTAGACTTAATCTAAACATTGATAATGAAAAACAGTTCTTCTCTTTGATAGTTTTGTTCTGAGCTATTATTCTAGCTTAATTGCCCTCAGCATTTCGTCGGTTGTTCTGAACTGATGGTTCCAGAATTCCATGATCACCTTCCCGCCTCTCAATACAGACACATCTGGGAATATGCCCGCCGTAAAAATCTGGTTTATATGAGCCTTATAGGCATTCTTGTCTTCTGGGGTCACTGGTGGCGACTCCTCCCTATGTGGCCAATATCTTGTCAGAATAGTGTAGATTATGGACCCGAGACTAAAGATATCAGTGGCCTGTGTCGACTCCCATGGCATTCGGGAATCAAAAAACGGATCTTCGGGTAAATGGTAGACATTCGATCCCAAAGCGTCACACCTTGCCCTGCCAAAGTCGCAGAGCCAGAGGTCCAGCGACAATTCATTAGTGGCATGTACCAGGTAGTTTTCGGGTCGCAAGTCCGAGTGTATGACACCGTTCTTATGCACATATGCAACAGCCTCGATCGCTTGCTCAGACTATTTCCAACGCAGAGAATCATTAATTTCCGCGTTGTTAGAATCGAGGTATGTCTGAAGATCCCCATGGCTTGCTTCGGCAAGCAGAATACCTTTAGAAGGAGCATAAGCTCCCAGATATCTGTTAACAATCCTTAGCTCTGCGGCCATTTGTGGTTAAGGGGTAAACGAACAGAACGAGTCTAGGATGATGACCTAGTATTTCCAGAACACGCCCTTCAAAAGAAATGGCTTTCTCCATTTCTGCCTCTAAGTTTTTGCGATTGGGGTTCTCTTCCCAAACTTCATGGGTGGTTTGATGATAACGTTTGTGTTATAACGTGTAAAGTCAGAGGTAGAACCACAATATTTTAAAGACTCCATACTGCGATATGTATAAAAGAGGTATAGAAGTTATTGTAGGAAATCTCTGTTCTGGTTTAAAAGCTACATTGGCGTAAGACAGGGAAAAGCCATGAGATTGTAAAGTTGTAGTGTCGGAAGCAAGGAGTGTGTCACGTAATGACCAGGCTGAATAGACTGTTATCCTGTCTAGTCAGTCTATCCAGTATCTGTGAAGATCTATGTATTCAGATAATTTTCCATAGTTTGTACAGCTTCGTGCTCAACTCAGTTATCAATTGGTTACCTACATTTCTATATTGATCTAGTAACGACTTCACCTCCGAGTGAATGAACCCAGTGATATAACCTTAATCCACAACCTACCAACCTGACGAACCCGAAGCCAAATTGCCTACTAGTCCAGCGATCATTGCACCAAGAAGTCTGTAATTTGTTTGCGCCTCTTATTTGTGTCTGCATATTCAATTGCTTGACGATACAATACTCGAGAGAAACATTCCTCTTCATTCTGTTCTAAATCTTTTGCTAAATCAAACGCTCGATGACCATTGATATCTGCTCCTTTGGCGACAAGGTATTCCCAACTTCGAGACGACCCCACAGAGCAGCTTCCATTAATACAGTTCTTCCCCAATGATTATTCTCATTGATTGCAACACCCCTGCGCTCTAGCTATTTGATGGTGTTCAGGCCAGTCTCCTCAGTCGCTGCAATCAAGATGTCGTTGTTGCCTTCAATAAAAATGCACATCATATCGGCAATTAATTTGGCCCACAAATTTCGTGGGGTAGTTGACAGATGATTTGAGATTAACGTTGCAGTCGTTATTGGTATGTCGATCACACCGCTTTCGGGGAAACTCTTTACTTGCTTGGTGATGAGGAGAAGTACAGTAAGATTTGGTGACCGGCGGGTTGAGTGGCTTTGTTGCCCTTGCTATTTCTTGTGGTAAGGGGAGAGGTCTCAAGTGTTAGAATTCTCTCCGCTCAATTGGATTTGTCCAATTGTGAAGTGCGACGGATTTAAAAAAAATCAATTGCCTATTCCTCGAAATTTTCGAGTCATTCCTGCATATCTGAGTAGGTATTCACACGTTCTGAGGACACTTTATAATCGGACTATCGCACAATTATCACATAACATTCTTCAAGGAAAGACATGGTAAGCAAAAATCATTTTTTATGAAATAAAATTTGCTACATTTGAGCAAGATGTGCCCGACAACATCACTAGAGAATACCTTAATGACTACATCCATCCGGACCACAAATTCCCTGTTCATCTCTCCATCCCGTAAAATTAAACACTCCAGCATAAGCATGATCAAGTGCCCATTGATGTATCTATCACCAACAAAAATCAGCAACTTTCGAACTATCAACATAAAGATAAAGAAGAATAATCACATACCGCATCAAAATTTCTGCAAGTGTGCATAACATTAAAGTTACTAATAACCAAATTTCTATCTGGATGATATTGGAAGACTTGTGGCGTAACATCCGAGAAACATTGCAGAGATTGTCGAAGAGAATTAAAACAATGATGTGCATGGTCTGTACTATAAAGTCCACTTTTGAAGTTCTCAGGCCATTCGGTATTATATGGGTTGACCGTAGCGTTCCATTTTGGATCTCTGAGGTAGCCGAGAGTGAGACGAATTGCATCCTTGATACAGGTTAGAAATGTTTTGTAAAAAAAGGTAGAAAATACCCACCAGACAATGAAGATCATGGAATACAGTCAAGACAATTGGATAATTATCATCAGTACCGGGAAGAGCGGCAGCAGTTTTGTTGAGTAGTTGAGAAGCTTCATGCTTGGTAAGACCAGTATCACCAACATAATGCAATTTTGCCCATCTCGCATTGCGCTCAGGAGTGGGTGGTCCTGCCCATTCATCATCTATCTTTGGTATAGGATTTTCAAAATTTTGATTATGGTATTCTATCACACTTTTTGCAGGTGCTGTTCCAAATCAGTCATGTTCAATACTGACGTTAAGATTGATACTTACTGTACATCTGTTGAAATACATCAGTCCTTGGAGACCAAGATTGCTTAAGACTAAAGGCAAGAAGAAGGAAGTTGAAAACGATAGAGGTAACCAAAATGAAAGTTAAGAATGGCCTTGGCTTTTCATGGAAAGTTGGATAACCATTTTCTTTGTCTAGAAAGGGTTCATTTGTCTCTGAAGAAGAATCGTCAGGTTGGTCTACTTGACGATAATTTTTCCAGCGCAGAAAGTATGATTTCATATTGAAGATTAGAAAAAATTGTAGTAGATGAAATATCCAGAGCAGTTACAGATTCATTCTGATTTTTCGCATTGAGAGAATTTCAAGAGAGCTTTCAAATCTTGAATGTCTCGACTTATCAATGTCTTCAAGCTTTAACTGAAATCTCCTTCCTACTTCATCCATCGCCATAAGATACTCCGCATATCGGACTTTTGAAGGGATGCTGTCGTCATTATTCATGTATGTTGCATATATCATAAGAATGAAGCATTTGTTCCCGCGTGTACTGAGACGAGACCTACATATGCAGTAAGATTCCCCCCCACTTGGTGCTTATATCGTGGAAAACGTACTTAAAGAATTCTAGACTCATATGACGAGTTCTATTTGATAAATTTGTTGGCAAGTGGGGTGTGTTCATGTAAGATTTTAGCTCCGAAAAGAGGCTTATATCCGGGTAAACCCAATTCTGGCTTAGGTGTTACAAAACGGGGCAATCAGAACATGTAGATATGCTTAAAATGATAAGCATCATTAAGACATATGCAGTCACGAAGCGGCTGGCTTAGTGGCTCGGTGGCTCGATGGATTAGCCTTCAACATTGATATCAGTAGCTTGTTTTTCATTCCTTCATCCGTAACTAAGCCTACGTAGGAAAGAGCATAGAGCCGATGGCGTGACACTGACGACAATCAGTGTAGAAGCGTAACGCTTTCGTGCTTAACAATTCAGTGCTCTTTAAAGCTTATCGTGACTAGATGTATGGCGGGGTATGCATATACGAGTACTCTTGACGGTATGGCGGCACAACCCCCCATTAACTTGAATTCTGCTATATTATCCGTGCTTAGACGAGTTTCGGGCTAGGGGGACTCACTCGAGTGATTAAGTGCTCTTGCGCATCTTCAATAGGTGAAGCCTCACGTAGGATTGGAGGATCAGTGAAACAGATAGTGAAAAGTTCGATATGCAGTGACTTACCAGGAGAAGTAGCCACAAGGACCAATCGCGTCCATGTCATCCTATGATCTTACAACATGCAAGTTAGATAGTGATTAAACTAAAATTAGTCGAACGTGGTGAACAGATATCACCTTCTTATTAGAGAAGCAACCTGCGACGATGCTGAGTAAGTGTCTGTGAACTTATCTACGGATGTAGAGGACAAACGGCTCGGAATTATTGGGACAATGAAAAAGCAAGTCTGACAAGATGACTGAAGGATAGAGATACTTGACGAAGGTGTCATCATGCGATCTTTTTAGATCACTATTCACGAGAACACGTCGAAAAATCCTTGCCGCATGATTTTGATAGTCTATAACGAAATGAGAATAATAGATCCATAGAGGGGTAGCAGGAAAATTTCAGGTGAGATTGTTCTTCAGCGAGCTCGGTTATCGGGATATCCAATGTAATGATGAATAGGACAGGGAGGAAGAAAGTTGTATAAGAAGTGGTAGCTCCTTCACCAACTTTGACAAGAATCATCAACAAGCACTTGACCATTCTCAACATCTCCATACGAAGAGCAAGACAAGAAAACAAATTCCCACGAATATAACGGATAAAGCAAACATGAAGACAATCTCGTCCATTGCGCTTGTGGCATATCTCGCCTACGAGGCTTCTGCATTGCCAGTTGCCAAGAGCGACAAGCCAGTTGGAACTGATAATGGCGTCACCAAGCACGTCTTCAAGAAGGCAGAGACACCAGCTCCTCTCCTTTACGGCTACGGTCAGGAAAAACGGGAGGAGACACCAGCTCCTCTGCTCTATGGCTATGGTCAGGAGAAGCGTGAGGAGTCAACAACACCAGCTCCTCTCCTTTACGGATATGGCCAGGAAAAACGTGAAGAGACTCCAGCTCCTCTTTTGTATGGTTACGGCCAAGAGAAACGTGCCGAAGCTGTAGTTCCCACTCCCCTCTTGTATGGATATGGTCAAGAGAAGCGTGAGGAGACTCCAGCTCCGCTTCTTTATGGATATGGTCAAGAGAAGCGTGAGGAGACTCCAGCTCCGCTTCTTTATGGATATGGTCAAGAGAAGCGTGAGGAGACTCCAGCTCCGCTTCTTTATGGATATGGTCAAGAGAAGCGTGAGGAGACTCCAGCTCCGCTTCTTTATGGTTATGGCCAGGAAAAACGTGCCGAAGCTGAGACTCCCGCTCCCCTTCTTTATGGTTATGGCCAGGAAAAACGTGCCGAAGCTGAGACTCCCGCTCCCCTCTTGTACGGATATGGTCAAGAGAAACGTACCGAAGCTGAGACTCCTGCCCCTCTTGTACGGATATGGTCAAGAGAAACGTGCCGAAGCTGAGACTCCCGCCCCTCTTGTACGGATATGGTCAAGAGAAACGTGCCGAAGCTGAGACTCCCGCTCCCCTCTTGTACGGATATGGTCAAGAGAAACGTGCCGAAGCTGAGACTCCCGCTCCCCTTCTCTATGGATATGGACAAGAATAAATGGTGAACACCCCAATCCACAAGTAAAGTTATTCAGCAACTTGCTAATACTTGAAATAGAGCCACAGGACTCACATTCAAACAAGACTAGTAATTGATGTGAAGTCATCGCACTGAACGCAACGGCGAGAGTACAGTTTTGTATAGGAAGATTGGTATATGAAGAGCTTGATAGTGGTTTCGGTTTCCACTTGGAAACGGTATTTTTGGTGCAGGATTGATGATTTTAGGACGCATATGATAGGATAGATACAGAGGGCTCTTCATTATGCCTGTACAAGCAACGTAGTATCATCTCCTAATAAATTGAATGGGGAATTCTCTTATACTTTTGTGTTGAATGAAAATTGTGCGACATGTGCATTGCCGTGATTTAGTAATTTGCAACTCAAGGATGTCGTGAGAGCTCTGTGGAGAAGTTATCGCATGGACTGAAGATAAGCATCAATGGCCATCTTTCATGATTCATAGTCAAGATCTCGTAGAGACGGTGCAATGGTTCTATGAAAGGCTGAGCTCAAAAGTGGGAGATAGTGTGGAGTTAAATTTGTGTTCTTACTAATCTTGCATCTAGTCCATAAATAACCTAGCGTCTCATGTGTCCTATATAGAAACAACGTGATTGGATTTCCTACATATACAGGTAGGTCCACCAGGTCACATCCCAAAAAGTGATTTGATACAATAGATATTTCATCGGCTCATTACATCCTCTGTCACACTCTAGGGAATGAGTACGTGACTACACACAAAAAAAAGGCACATATAAGTTGAACTTAATTAATTTTATTTGATGAATTAGCTGAAATAATGAGAAGAGCGTACTGATGTCTTTTCCGTTATATACTCCATAAAATACATGCTACATATATTAAAATTATACCTCGTGGTACATCCTCATATCCCAAGCGTTGATTACTAGTGGTATCTCTATGTGATTCATTTTGACCCCCGTTCTCATGCTCCACTAAACCCCCTGTAAATAGTCCCAAACAAAGAATTAATAACACAGTCTTAAGTGACGCCACCTTGCAAACTCGTCAGCTTTCCTCGTAATGCGCGGAAGGAATCGCATTTTTCGATGTATTCTTATCCCTCTCCAAATTCCAAGAATGGAGTCTGACAGGTCTCAAAATTCCAAATGTGAGTTGGAACTTCAAATTGGTAAGGAATCTACGTCATCCATTAGATACCTCTCCCTCCTTCATTCCACAACTACATGTACCAATTGGCCTCCAAATCTGTGTTCAATAAACTATCAAAAAACATCGTATTATCTGGATGTAAACCGGGCCAATCTTCAAATTGTTGTTCTAGTTCTAGTGGAGGAAATTGACTACTCTTAAAAGAGACCTTTTGTTGAGCAGCCCATGGACTATTAACCGCAGTAACAAATTCATTCTGAGCTTGTGCGCTGGCTCTTGGTGTCATATCCATAAGAGCTGGAGTAGTGTTCAATGAGGGTTGGTCTGTATTGATAGAGGGAGTCGATTGAGTGACATTCGTAGCGGTTGAAGATTTTGGCGTACGTGCTATTGAAATAGTTCCGAAATATGGGATTGTTAGACGTAGATTTCCACTGGTGCTAGTGGATGAGAGGAGAGTTTTAATGACTTCAACACTTTGAATGGCCATTACATCTTCAGCGGAAGCACATTCGCTCATGACATCAAGGACAGTTTCCACGAGTTTTCTGTCGGAGCATTTTTGGTCTTGCACCACAATGGTATCTCCTCCTACAGGTGGAGTTTCCAAAATACTCAAGAGGAGAGTTACACATGCCGTGAATGCACCAAAATCGATAACTCTGCAACAGAATGATGCCGCACCAGAGCGTCTAATCGCGAGATAGCGTGATATGCATTCTCGTGATGATTTCATACATGCGAATTTACTATATTCGTAACGACGTTCTGTGTCGGCTCGAACCATAAAAGGTAGATGCAAGAATGACTGTAACTGAAAGTAGTAAATTTGTGACATGATTCGATCGAATTTCGCGGCTGAATTCGTCTTTTCGCTGATGGTCTCGAAATGATCAGGTATATCCCACCACGAGGAAGGCATTTCTCTTCCAATATTCTCGAGTTTTTCATCTAGTTCTTGAGTAGTGGCAAATGCATGAATATGCTCGGATTGATTTCGTTCAAGGATTCCTCCAGCCAAATTTGTAATCTTTTTAATGAAGAGAAGATCATGGTTGATATTAGGATTGCTGAATGTTTCGTGTGGTAAAATAATGCAGTCGCCTGCCCCGGCAGGCATTCCCAAGAGTAAACTTAGATATCTATCTGCCTGCATAAGGCTTCTCCAAAGGTGAATTCCTCCTGGTGGTAAAGCTGTACTACCAAACTCCTCACGTCTATGTAGACCCATAAGTTGACCGATATTCATACCTCGACGGAATGTAAGCCATGAACGACGTAAGTTTCCAGCATTCATATGGAATAATCCTAGGAGCATCAAACATTCCAACCCTTGGATGCAAGCCACAAGTTCATCGTCCGAGGTCACGAGTCCCGAGACGGTTGATATTATTTTGTCTGTTCGAGCTTGAATGCTTGTGTTAAATCCAAGTTGACTGGCATCATATCCATGGGGCACCTGCTGTAAGCATACAGCTACGTAAAGAAGTGTTTGTGCTATTGTTGCAGGACTTTCTTTTCCAATGCCAGGAATATTAAATGAATGATTCGGATTGAATCCTGTTGGCTGTAACATAATTTGAGGTGAATGTTGTGATAAAGAATGCATCAGTAGCCAGGAATCACTGAAAGAACAAAGTTTATTTGTAGCTTCTTGTGATGGAAGAAGTTCTATCAAAACATCTCTGATTCTTTCAACCTTTGTTAGGGGTCGACATTGATTAGTGGACTTCTCTCCGTTTGATTTCAATTTGGAAGTCATGAATTCATTTTCCTTTTCTCGGCGACCTAACTTTGATGGACGTGAGCAAATATATGAGTATATGGGGTATTGGACATGAGATATGAGACATGTTATGGGATATGGAATATGGAATAGGGCAATACTTACAACAGCATTATCAAAAAGAGAAAGTATCGGTGCAATTGTAGCACTATTATATCCAGTTGAGGTAGGATGTGGGAATGGTGTAAGAACATCACCAGTACCCATACTTTCTGGAGTATGAATTTTTGTGGCGTTTTCTTGCTCGTCATACTGATCCAATTTTGCCATTAATTTATCAAGAGTAAGCTCTATACGACCAAGTCGTTCACCAATTTGTGGGCCACCTGAAGAATCATGTTCTTCTGGATATTCTTGACTTATACAAGTCGTCCCGCGTGATAGGCAACCAGAACAAACGCTGACATTTTCAGAACTCAATTGACATTTGACTTTTCTTCTTTTACATTCCCAGCAACTCTTGGTTCCTTTCCTAACACGTTTCTTACGATGTTCTTCATCAGCGAGAGTCACTGAAGTTGGTCTAGCTGACATTTCGAATGACGAATTGTGGGTTTGTTGAATGGCGCTGGAGGCTTGAAGACTTGACGGGGCTTGAATGTCTCTTGAAATTTGATGGTACCGGAAGTTCCAAGGGCAGATGTTTCTCGAAGCTTAGATGGATGTCTCAAGAAACTGTCAATATCTTTATAAGTTTGAGCTCTTTCAAATCTTGAATTTTTGATTGAGCACAGGGGTGAATAAGGATATCGAGCTAGTCCCGGATCGGGTGAATGTGTGGTTTTGCGCGATTCTACACCAACTTCAAAGTTCGTTTTCGGTCGTCTCAATGGAGTAAAGTAGTTACCAATGGATGTGGAAGAAGGAAGAGAACAAACTCGTGTATATGAGAATTACGTGAGAACCTTTTTTCACTTTACCAAATAAAGAAAAGGGAGAAAGTCGTAGGATGGAGTGCCTTCCTCCGCCGTTTCGACGGAATGATTGAAACGATTCACGTGACTCATCTTCGGAACGCACCAACACATTAACAACGCACCACCCTATACTTTCGAAAACTTCTCCATCACCTCGGACATAGGAACGACTTTTAACACCGTATAAACTCAACTCAGTCTCACACTAATCCCTTTCGTAAAAGGACCGACCATGGGGTTATGATTCGTGTATATGATTTCTGAACCTCCTCTCTACTATATCTCCAACTTCAAAATTATTATATTATTCAAATTTACATCGAATAATTTTAAGATTTGTAGTAATGAAATCTTCAAATTTCTAATATTATTATATACAAAATGATTTTTATTTAAGTCTTCTAAAATGAGTATAATACCAGGGGCCTGCGCCCCCCGGACCCCTGACTTTTCAAAAAAGTCTAATGAAAATTCAAGTTTTAAAAAGTTTATAATAAATTTAAATATTGAATATATATCAGGGTGCAGGCAGAATATTGGCTTGTTTTTGATAATTGAAAATTAAAAATTTTTATTTAAAAATAATAATAATATTTTATATTATTTATATTATTTATATTATTTATATTATTTATATTATTTATATTATTTATATTATTTATATTATTTATATTATTTATATTATTTATATTATTTATATTATTTATATTATTTATATTATTTATATTATTATTATTATTTTGAATTGAATAAGATGATGTAACGATCTGGTCGAGGCAGCGGTTGCCTGAGGTTTCATATGGTTGGTAATTGTAGGTTAAGGCTATTAATTATTGATTATCTATTTGAAAATGAATTCATTACTAGATCAATTGGAATATAAATAAACTAATTGATAACTAAATTGAGTATAAAGTTTTTAAACTATAAAACTATTCCAATTATATACTAATAAATGGAAAGGAGTTTTGTGAAACTCAAAAGCTTCAAAAAGCTTTTGGAGCTTTAAAAGCTTTTCAAACTCCTAGGACTTTTTATTATATGATTGATTCTAAAACTTCTCCTTTTCTAAAATATTTATCTTAGAAGCTTTCTTTAAGGAATTATAATCTTAGGATTGTTACAAGGTAACAGTCAACCTGTCCATATGAGCTTAGGCCTCATCAAAAAGCAAGGCGATTTGTATACAAATTTGTATGGTAATCGCCTTATATGGTCTCCCCGCCCTCAGCAAACTCGGACATATAGTCTGATCTTAGAGATCACATAATGAATCTTATATATACAAGGATACGAATCGTAGGTTTATACAAATCGAAGGTTTATACGAATTGTAGGTCTATACGAATCGAAGGTCTATACGAATTGTAGGTCTATACGAATCATAAATCTATACAAATTTATAGAATACAAAGATTTATATAAACCAAAAAAGTTTTATATATATAGAAACTTTATATTCAAGATTAATCATTTAATATAATCTATTATTAATTACGAATTACAATTATTGATATTATTTTAAAGTTTCTATTTGATATCTAGTTATAAACTATTCAAAGATCCAGATCATTTTTATATAATCTAGATTGTATTCCTTGTAATACTTTGAGTATTATTATTATCTCAAATATTAATTCGACAAAGTAATATTATATCTTTTTAAACCTTTCAATTTAATAATCCAATTTCAATTATCTCAAAAGATATAGATCAAAATGAAGATATCGTTATAAAAAGAATAAAGGATCTCAAAAAGATTATTATTATCGAAATTCTCAAAATTGCTTTATTCGATAAGTTTATAGATTATCGATAAGAATTGAAAACCTTTCTATTTCAGTTTAAGATTTATTTTGAATTCAATAAAAATAAGTTCTATTATAATATCGATAAAAGTATTTAAATAACCTTTTATTTCAAAAAAAAAGTTTTCAAATAAATTCAATCTTATTTTAAAGATTATTTTATTTATTTGAATGATTTTAAGAAACGAATATATTTAATACAAATTATCTTTGAGATATTTGTAAAATTCAAAAAGGAAATACAATAAGTATTCGGAAATATCAATGAATTATATAATATTGAATCTAAGATTTATAATTTTAAGTAAACAAGATTAATAATAAAGTATATTATGAAATTCAGATAATATATAAATATTATAGAATAAGAAAAGAATATTATAATAAATTATTACAAAAAAAGGCTCAAAATAAAGATTAAATTAGAATTGGATTGTAATTGTATTTAAGAAGATCTAAACAAATTAATCAAGGAATCAATCAAAACAAATGAAATATTTTACAAATATTAAAAGGAATATCGATCTTTTAATTTTTATAGAAATCAAGATTATAATAAATATTATAAAAATAAAGAAAGATCTCGAGATTATTGATAATTATATAAAGATTTAATATAATTGAATATAATCTTTAGAAACAAATTATTTAAAAAGGAAATAGATCAAAAACGAAAGAATAAATTATACTTTGAATATAACGAATCGGATTATCAATCTAAAGATTATCGAAATAAGAAATTATAAGATCAAAAAAGTTATTATAAGAAAATCAAATTCGGAAAACATCAATTCAATATTATCTTTGTATTATTATTATTTACTTTTAATATAATCGAAAATAATAATTATAAATAAAAACAATACCAAAAGAAAATCAATATAATATTTCGAGATTAGGAAGATTTGAATGAAATAGATCGATATAAATTGGAATATCTCTGAATTTTATTATTTTCCTTGATTAAGGAAAACCTAAAAGAAATATTATCGATGGAATATATAACAATAAATTAGATAGTTTATTATAATAATTCTTATAAAATTTATTTGTTAAATAAAGAAGTTATAAAATAGTTTTTTTATAAAAGAAGAAAAAGAAATATTTCATTATATAATTAACAAAATAATCAATTATATGAAATTAATCAAATCGATCAAATCGATCAAATTGATCAAATTGATCAAATTAATCAAATTGATCAAATTAATCAAAACAAGGTTATAAACTAAAGACAACTAAATATTGTAGATTAAGCAAAATAGATTTATTATAATATTAAGATAAATAAACAAAAAATCCAAGCTATAATCGATTCAAGAGTTATAGAAAATTTTATTATATTAAGAATTATAAAGTATTTGAAAATACAATTTTAAGCAAAATAGATCTTATATTAATTATAATTAATTAATAAATAACTAATAAAATTAAACAATAAGATTTTATAAAAAACTTATTCAATATAAATAAATATAATCCAATATAAAAAGATCATTCAATTTGATATTATTCCATTAAGAAATCAATAGATTATTTTAGGAATATTATAATTAAAAGTATATAATCTCAAAATCGATTAGATTATTGAAATTATAAGTTTCTTAAACAAAAACGATTATTACAATATATTAGAATTTATAAAGTTGAATATATACAATAAAGAATTAAAGGTAAACAATATTGTTAATATAAAATACTTAATTTAGAATCTTTTATTAATAATAAAAAAAAATGAATCTTTTATATAAATAAAGAATAAACAAAAAGAATTGTTTAATATCATTCTTATATAAAAACAAAAAGAAATATCAATATCGATATAATATCAAAGATACAAAAAGTTATTCGAAAAAAGAAAAAACTATAAAGCTTTATCAGAATATAAATTATAGGATTATAAGATAATATTGAAAAAAGACAAAACATTTCTATTTGGATTAATCTATCAGATATCGGAATTGGAATTAAGAATGTTTAAGGAATATATTGATAATATATTAAAAAAGAGTTGAATTAAAGAATCAATTTTATAGATAATTAGTTTTATATTATATATATTTAAGAAAAATAGTATTAAAAGATTGTATATAGATTATTATAAATTTAATGATATAATGATTAAGAATCGATATCTATTTTTATTAATTATAAAATTAAAGAATCGATTAAGAAAAACAAGGATTTTCTTCAAATTTGATTTAAAAAACAGATTTTATTTAATCAAAATAAAAAAAGATAAAGAATAAAAAATAGTATTCAAAATTCGATATAGATTATATAAATATCAGATTATATTATTCGAATTAACTAATATATTAATAATATATATATAATTAATCAACAATATATTAAAAAAATACTTGAATATTTGTTATATATATTATTTGAACGATATCTTTATATTCTTTAAAACAAAAGAATAATATATATTGGATATATATAAAATATTAAAACATTTGAAGAAAACAGATTTTTAATATAAACCTAACAAATACAAATTCTATATTATAGAAACAGAATTCCTGAATTATATAATCTTTTCAGAAAGCTTCAAAATGAGTTTTAATAAATTAAAAACAATTCAAAATTAAGAATTATCAAATAATATAAAGAAGGTATAATCCTTTTTAAAATTTATTAATTTTTATTAATAATTTATCAAGGATTATTCTAAAATAACTATTTCAATATCAGAAATCATCAAAAAGAATCAAAAAGAGTTTCAATAAACTTTGCAAATATAAAAAATATTCAAAAACTTTAAAAAAACTTTTATTAAAGAATCTATTCTTTTAATTTTCAATCCAGAATTATCAATAACTATAAAAACAAATACTTCGAATTATATAATAAAAATTATATTGAATTAATCCGATTTGAATAAGAAATAATAATCAATTGTTTATTATTTATAAAAGTTATTATCAATCGAATTAAATTATAAAATATACAATAAAGAGTTATTAATAATAATAAATATATTTAAAAAATAAAAAATATATTTAGAAAGATCAAAATATATAATATAAATATATATAGATTATAAAAACTTGATTTACTTTATTATAATAAAAGAATTAAATTAATAATAAATCAAATAATCAAAGATTTTGATAATCTATAATTTCAGAATTTCATATATCAAAAAGAACGAAAATATTAAAGTAGATACTTTTAATCAAAAATCAAAGTATTTATAAAACAAAACTTATAAAATATATATAATATTAAAATAGAAAGATAATATATTA